GGTATATGTTCGGAGAGACCCCCTGGAGCCGCCTCCAGAACTCGCAGCTTGAGACCCATCCCAGAGGCTATGTTGTGGCCCCCACCAAAGTCATAGGCCTGTGCCCCGGGGCCTCCAGGCCTTTCCTGGAGGGACGGGGAGGTGGAGGCCAGGCCCACGGCCCCCATGCTTTTTGGTGGGGATATGGGGGGCTTGGGGGTGGGTAGGGGAGCAGGCAGTGCCAGGACACCATGGCACGGCCTCCACCCCCAGACCCCAGAACAGTGGGCTAGTGTGTGGGCCGGGGGTGGGGCGCGGGGTGGAGGCCGGGCAGGTCTGTCCTGCTCCATAAACCCCGAAGGACGCTGTTGACACAGGGGTGATGTCACTACCGACCAATTGGGAGCCCGTCGGGGGCTCTGTGTGTGCTGCTCTGCGTGCCGTGGGCCCCGCCACGCACGGGGCGTGATCTGAAAGCCACCTGAATAAACCCAAGGGGCCCCTGCTTTCCCCCTGGGCCCCGTCTCCTGCACGTCCCACCCAACCCACCGCCTGTACAGGAAAGACAGGGGCAAGGAGGGGTGGGCAGGGAAGGGAGGAGGCCTTGTGCCTGGGCCGAGCTCTCTCACTGACATGTGGCCCCCACCGTCCCGGCCCCCCACCTCTGAACCCCAGAGTCACGCCTAGATGTTCCATGGCCTCTGGTGACCAGGGCTCCCTGCAGCCCTGCCTGACACCCTCCAGAGCAGCTCTGCACCCCGTGTCAGGGCTCTGTCACGGCAAGTGGCCGTTTGTCCCAGGGCCCTGACCGTCTGTCCTATCCCTTCCATCTTTGACTCCAGAAAGTCCTTCCTTCTCCCCGCCCTGTGGGCTGCAGACCAGACCCCCACCCCCATCACCCCCACCCTCAAAACCCAGAGGGGCCGGTCTCCCTGTGCTGGGCTCAGGTAAATGCTTTGTCTGCCTCTGGCCCCATCGCCCACACCCCTCCTTGGGCCTTCCCCCCCCCCGAGCCTCCACTCCCCCCAGCAGAGTGTGGGACCCCCAGGGGTCTGCCCAGAGCCCCCTCCACCTCTTGGCTATGCCCCCACAGCAGCCCCTGGGGCGGGCCCCAGGGACAGGTGTCCAATGGGCCTTGACACGTGCTAGCAAGCGCAAGCTCCGGGCAGGAGCAGGGACAGCCCCCCCCACCCCCCCGCACTTGGCGCCCATGTCTGTTTACCGGTCCAGCCCCAGGCCCACGCCACCCCCCGAGGCCCCGGCTGCCCGCCTGTGTCCGGCCAGGTGTTCGATGATGGAGCACGGGCTCCTGGGAGGACAAGGGGCTCGCTGTCTGCTTTATGCAAGCACAGTGCTGACAAGGAGCAGAATATCCACAGTGACCACTTCCAGGAAGTGGCTCAGGGCTGTGGGGGCCGCCGAGGAGCAGGCCCCTTCCCAGCAAGCCGGCCTGCAGGTGGGCTTCCAGGAAGGGTCCCCCGCGGGTTCCCATCACCCCTGGAAAAGGGCCAGTCGTGTCACCAGGTGCAGGCTGGGGAGAGGTGCAGAGAAGGGAAGGAAGAAGTCCACGAGGGAGAGAAGGCAAGGCAGGGGCAGCCTGGGGTGGAGACTGCAGCCCCGGGGGAGGCCACGCTAGCCATGCTGCTCCTTCCAGAACCTTCCGTCCCCCTCTGTGGGTCACACCACCTCTGCTGGGGCCCTTGGCTATCGGGGGCCTTCCCGAGTACATGCTCGCACATGCAGGAGGGTAGCGGCGCGTGGGCGGAAGGACACTGATCCGATCAGGTCCCGGGGATGACTGGTTGCAGCGCCTCCCGCCCCTTGCCGGTGGGGGCCGTGTGGGGCCTCTGGCCAGGACCCCCTGCCCCTCTGCTCTGCTCTCAGATGCCACCCCAGCTCTGGGAAGAGGGAAACCGTTTGTCTTCCCTGGAGCCTGGGGTGGGAGCCCGGGAGCCACTCTCAGCTGGCCCAACCCTGTGTTGTTTTTGGTGTTTTTTTTTTTCAGGCTTCCCAGGGTGTATTGTAGTGAGACCCCAAATGTCATGTTAGGCCTGCTCAAGAGTTCATTTCCTTTGTATTGTTGGAATTGTTTCTGCCCCCATTCACTGGTATGACAAGTGTCTTGACTCTACCCCGCCCCCCAGCTGTCCGTAATCCCTGCCTGAAAGTGGGCTCTTGGGTCATTAAATCCGTGCAGAGACACAAGCCCACACAAAGGCAGAGGACACACACAGCCGGGCTCAGATGTCCACCCTCCAGGGACACTGGCCCCCACATGGGGCCGGGCCACACAAAAGCCAGCAGACCCCACAGGGCGCCCCAAACAGGACAGGGCCCACATCCATGCCTGTGGCGCCCCAAGCAGAGGCTCCCTCAGGGCCACACGGCTGGACCGTGGACACACGCAGCCCATGACAGGGCGGCCATTTGGGCTGCAGCACCCAAGAGCACACAGCTGGTGCCCGAGCCCATGCACACGGGGCTGCCCAGGACACAAGAGATGTACAGACGCACAGACACATGCTTGTGGACACGGGGACGGGAGTCTCAGGGACACACGGAGACACACACTTATTGAGTGTTGTGCCCTCTAAGCTGGACGATTTGCTTGGTTGGGGGAGAGTCCAGGTTGAAGACACCCCCCAGCTCCTGGACTGGAGTTTCCATTGGAGCTGGGGTGGGGGCGTCTAGTGGGGGTGGAGGGCTGGTTGGAGTCCTGGGCGCAATCTTCCCCAGACCTCCCCGCACCTCTGCGGTGGCCCCCACCCCCACTGCGCCTGAGCTGGGGAGGAGGGGGAGTGAAATCCAAGCCCCTGTTTGCTGGAGACACTTAACTCAGTGCAGGGGCATTTTGAAAGCGCCTCTGGGTGGCAGGGGCGCCAGGAGCCTGTCTGACAGCCTCTTGGAGCCCCTTCTCTAAAAAGCAGGAAATCGGGTTGGGCCAAAGGTAAACACATTCCGACCTGGCTGTCCCTGCTCCATGGAGGGGCTCTGTGGGGCGGGGGCCGCCACCGCTGTGTCCCTAGTTCAGGCGAGGCGAGGCGGGGGCTCATGACCTGTTTGCAGAGCCTGGGCCTGTGGCTCCAGCCCCAGCCGCTTCAGACCGGCCCTCGGGGACAGGGGACAGGTTGCCCTCACCTCTCCTGCACCCCCGGCCCCAGGGCCCTCCCCACACTACATTCCCTCCTGCTTGGGAGGCCCCAGAGCCACCATGGAGCAGAGGAGAAGTGTGCACTCAGAGACTCAGAGGGGACAAGGGGCATGGGCACAACCGCAGGCAGACCTGGGGGGACAGTCGACCTCGGCCGGAGGGGCCCCCCAGCTGGGTGTGGAGGGGACACCCCACCCTCCTGCATTCCAGACCAGTAGACCTCAGGGCCCCAGGTCAGGGTTGAAGTGTGGCTGTGACTCACGTCCCAGGTGTCAGAACAAGGCCACAGTACCCAAAGCCCTGGCCCCTGGCTCTGGGGGCCCAAAGGATTGCCCATTCTTTGCAGGGACTGATGATTCCCGGACTCTCCAGAGCATCCCTCTGCTTTCTCCCAACCCTGGGACCCCTACAGCACCTGCGATGGCCACACCACTGTCCCCTCACAGCCCCAGGAAGCTGGCCCAGGTGACCAAGGCCAGGGACAGATGTTTGTGACAAAGGCAGTTGATAGACCCAACATTACAACTAAGGGCCGGGGGTCTGGAGATGGACATAGCCTGTCCCTGAGTGGTGCTCTGGGCCCTGGCACGGCTTGGGTGGGTGGCAGAGGTGCTTGGGAGAGACCCGAGGGCCTCACTCCTTGTCCCCAGCATGGGTCTGGTGGGAAGGGCGCGGGTCCCAGAGGGGAGCCCAGACACATGAAGGCAGGGGGGAATCCATGGAGGTCAGCTTGTGGGGGTGGCACAGTGCTGGGTGCCCAGAGTCCAGGCAGCCCCGTGGAGGCCCCGGCATGGAGGCAGTATTCTCAGGCCTTTGCCATCTGGGCTTCATCAGCTGGCAAGGGAATCGGTCAAGGACCCCAACCTCATTTCCAAAAGCTGCTACCTCACACTCGCGGTGACTGCACCATCAGAGGCAGAGGGCTATGGGCCTGGGGGTCCCTGACCCAGCTGCCATCTGGCATGAGGACCGATACCAACCCCAAGCTCAAGGGGGTCTGTGCTTGAAAACCAGGCACAAACCCAAGGCTAGACACCAGCAGGATGCATCCCGTCCCCTGTCCCTCTTCCCTTCTCAGCTGCCCCAGTTTGGCCCGGGGCAGCTGCTAGGGCCAGTCCTGTGGATGAGAGTGGACGGCCCTCCCGCGTGGCAAGCCCACCCTCCTAGGATGATTCTACATGTGACTCTCCTGCTGGTCCCAGCATCTGGAACAGGGGCTTGGGGGGCTCGAAGGGCCCAGGGGTGTTATTCCTGAGGTAGGTCACGTGGCAGGACAGCATGTAGGGGGACTCGGTGTTGTCTGGCTTCATGCCCATTGCTGAGAACTCCCTTGGCCACTCCACCACCCCCTCCCTGCAGGGGCCTTGGCCCCACAGACCCCTCCCTGGGCTCCACCCCATGTCTCCTTCCCTGTCACCCCACCCCCAGGCCCCTCCCCATGTCAAATGCCCTCCCTGCCCACCCTCCTCATCCACCCCCACCCGACCCCACCCCACCCCACCCCCAGAATCCTCCTTGGCCATAGGCTTCCTGGCCCCGTGTGCCTCCCCCACGCCACCTCCCCTCCTGTGTGTGTACCTCACCTCATCCCCGTGCCCCTCCCCTCTGTCCCCGTGCCCCTCACCTCATCCCCGTGCCCCTCCTTTCTATCCCCCTGCCCCTCACCTCATCCCGTGCCCCTCCTTTCTATCCCCCTGCCCCTCACCTCATCCCCACGCCCCTCACCTCATCCCTGTGCCCCTCCCATTCTCTCTGCCCCCTCATCCGCCCTGTTCCCTTATGTCTTTTTCATGTTCTCCATCCAGTGGCCCCCCCACGCCCATTCCCCCCCCGCCCCCGCCCAGGCAAACAGCTCGGATTCCAGAGTCCCTGAGACAAATTGCTGTAACTGTGTTTATTGATGAGTCCAGGGCTCCTGGTGAAGCCCTGGTGGGGAGGGGCACAGAGCGAGTCATGCTACAATGGAATGCTTCAAGGTCTGCTCGGTGTTAGGAGCTTCCAGACTAGGCAAGGGGGGGTGGGGCCTCACGCGCTCAGCCGCACCCGGGCACCCCCACACAGAGATGGACGGAAGGTGGGTGCCGGGCGCTGCGGGCCACAGGAGGCCAGGTGCACTCAGCAGCTTGCTTGCACACACGCTCGGGAACTCAAGGCCAGATCCAAGACTCCAAACCAGTGCAAACGACTTAGTGCAAATTAAATTCAGGAGGGACGGGGAAACAGAGTCATGGGGGCTTTGAGTCTCCCGAGCAAAAAGGAAAGGAAAGAAAGGAAATGAGAGAACACAGGAAAGGAAGAAGAGAAAGAGGGCGAGGGGCATGGGGCGTGGCGGCTGGTGGTCGCCTGGCCATGGCAGGGTGGCCACGGGGATGACATTGCCAGGAGGGGTGGGTGGCGGCTGCCACGGAGGCTGCTCGCTGCCGACGGTGTTGTGGTCAGGTTGCTCTCGTTCCTTTTGCGTCACCTGCAGAGAACGACAGGACACATGAGTGGGGAGCCAGGCAGGGTAGCCAGGGAAGCTTCCGGAAGGAGGGCACCCATGCTCACCTTCCAGAGCCGATTCCTGAGTCAAGTAGTGTAGTGGTTCCAGAATGCAGCATCTTCTTGCGTCAGAGCTAGAAGGACTTGAAGAAGTCCGATTTCCAAGGCCCAGGCATGAGCTGGGTAGCACCATTTCTACAGGGCGGGAGAGCATGAGTGCTGGCTCCCCAGCCCACACCCACTCCCCGTGGGTGGCCGGGGCCTCCTCACCTTGTCAGTTTGAGGGTTATAGGGGTCCAGAGAGCAGCAGTGTGTTGACTCCTTCAGGAACGCAAAGGAACGAGAGCCGTGGGTGTTCTGACTCCCCGCGGTGCCAGGCTAGAATGTTCTGTGGAAGGAAGAGCTCTCGTGAGTGATACTTCAGGGGGTGGTTGGCCCGGAGGGGCTGTGTCCCACATCTGCACTTACCAGGAAGGCCGGACGGCATCACGTCTGTCCTCACCGTCACACCGGACCATGTCTTATCCCTCTGAGCGCAGCCTCGCGCCCGGCCTTCGGTGGCTGGCGGGCTCACCACCCGAACTGGAGACCTGGCTGTGGGCAAGTGGAAAAGGAACTGGTTGAGGGGGCAGAGAGCTGGGGTGGGGTGTCAGGAGCGCTGGTGGGCTGGGCACTCACCCTCATCTCCAGTCCGATCCCAGAGGCACCGATCCCTGCTCCGTCGAAGCCCGCAGAGGCCCGCCTTGGCCCCGAGCTCTGGAGGCCAGTGCTCCCCTGGCTCGCCGCCAGGCTCCTGCTCTTCGCCCCTGCCTGCGCCCCGACCCCCCGCCAGAGGTCTCACTCACTCCGCCCCACACTCCTCGCCTAGTCTGGTCTCGCCTGTGCCCTTGACTCCCCTGGACGCTGTCCTGTCCGTCACGCCAGACCCAGGGGCTGAGCGGTGAGGGCATACAGTGTCACCGAGTGCACTGTGGGCCCTCTCCGCGCCCGCCCCTGGGCCGCAGTGCCACGTGGGAACGGCCACCCGCAGGCTGGGCCCACGGCAGCCTCCTCGCTGCAGAAATCTCTCCAGAGCCCGATCCTGCGGCCGCCGTTCCCTCCAGGTGACACCCTGCTGCGGGCGCCCCGCGCACTGCTCCTTCGTTCCCGCTCTCCGGCCCTCGAAGCTCCAGCACTGGCCTTGGGAGGCCCGAGCCAGAGCCGCTCCTGTACCTGCTACTAAATGAATTTCGGTGGGTGAGATGTGGTGGCGGCTGGGGACCCTGTTACGTCCTGAGTCCCCACCTCCTCCTGTCCGACCCGGGCTTGGTGTCCCCGCACATGCTGGATCCCCATGGCCACCTGTCACCTCCATAAAGGCGGTCGCCTCAGCACCTTCCTCGCTGGCAGCCCCGCCTCGTCTCCTGCCCACCCTCCTGAAATACTCTTTCTACCTGGGAAGGACCCCCAGCTCCCCAGCCCCCACTGTCTCAGCTCCCCCTGAGACGATGTCACCTGTCCTGACTGCCCTCCTTCGTCCTGCTGCTCTGCCGGGAGGCCAGCCGCTTCTCCTCGCTGGTCCTTGCTCCCTGCCACCTCCTTCTGCAGAAGGCCAGCAGAGCAAGGCCCAGGGAGGGGAGGGGACTCACCTGGCCGACAGGCAGCTGTCCTCACTTGCTTGCGGCTGCCAGCTGCAGCCCACCACCCAGGTCCCGGGCGAACCCCTCTTCGGCTCCCCTTGTCCACCAGCCGCCACGTCCTGAAACCAAAAACTGACCGGGATGAATGCCTGGCTCCCCCCTCTTTCCTCTACACCCCCAGCTTGGGCCCGCCACACGTCATGCCGATGTGACCCAGACTCCCAGACACCCGGGCCCCTATGCCACTCGCCCGCCAGGTGCCTGCCAGCCCGGCCCAAGCCGCCCTCTACCCTATGCCACTCCTGCCAGACTCCAGATTTCCAAGGTGATCCTTGGCCCACTCAAGCTTCCCTGCACCCTGTCCCCATCTTCCCCTGGTTGCCCCCAGTACCCCACGCTTCCCTGGTTACCCCTCGGCTCCCCCGCTTCCCCAGTTTCCCCCGAACCCCCCACCCCACCCCTCCCACCACCCCCTCCCGCACCCTGCTCTGCGGCCCTAGCCCGGGCTTTTTCTAACTGGGGTGGCCCCGCCCAGAATTCCCGCCCCTGCCCTGCCAGCCAATCGGAGCAGGGACCGTGTTCGGGGGCCACCGCAAAGCCCACCTCCGCCCCAGCCCGTCCAGCGCACGTTCCTCACCCGTCCAGAATCCACCAAAGACGGCATTCTGCACACCCCTGCGTTGGCGTCCTGCAGACAGGGCCTGGCATTGTCCCCACACGTCCCCCTCCCCTCGGGTGGGAGCAGGCGGGTCCCCTCAGGGCAGACCACGCACACGGCCACACGCCCAGACCGCGCGCAGGGAGCGCGCTCTGCTCCCAGTGGGAGTTCTGGCGGGGGGCTCCTGACGCTGGCGCGGGATTTGGAGCTCCCCAGTGCCACCACCATGGCTGAGACCCCACACTCACCCCAGGGCCCTGGGAGTCCACGGGGAGCCGTCACGTGGGGGTGAGGGCCATGGGAAGCACCCAGGGGTCTCTGTGGGGAGGGTGCATGGCTGAGCTCCGACTCCAGCACCATCTAGTTGACAGTGGCTGTTGGGACCAGAGCGGCTTCCACAGGGCAGGCTTCCCACTGCGGTTGGGGTGCTCTAGGTCCCCTGACCACCGCATTCTGATCACCCGCACAAACCGCACCCTCTGGGTTCCACGACTCACAGGCGCGCTCTCGTGACAGGCGCCCCATGCACCGCTTGCCCCGGGCGCCGCTGGCTCAGGAGCCAGAGACCTGAGAGCTACAAGATACCCAAGGCTATCCTTGGCTAATCTATCCCTGGGGTGACCCCTCAGCCTTACTAGGGGGGATCCGGGCCCCACAGTCCACAGGGTTCGCCCACCAAGTCTAGGGTGTTGACACAATGGGGAGAGCCCACATAGGCAAGGGAGCTGGAGTCACCACACCTCAGAGAGGTCCCCTGGCAGACTCTGCTCCTTGGACACCACCGTAAAGTGCCAGGTGCTCCCCACCAACCCCGATACCCCAGCCTTCCTCATGGCGGAACCCCCAGATTTACTGTGGGACAAACCTAGACTTTGCCGCGGGTGGACTCCCGAGGTAGGATGGGGCGGACCGCCACAATGGCCAGAAACAGACCCCAGCCTTGGCCACCTCCAGGCGGAGGTGAGTCCGCACTGCCACCTCGCGGTTACTGTGGTCCGCACACCACGACAGACTCGGCGGTCCAGGGGTGTGCGAGGGACTCCGATCTGGCTCAACAAAGCAAGATAGCCCCGAAATCCTTCTGTGCATGACTGGGCAGCACCTAGGACCCCGTGCTACCGGCGGTGCTCGTGGGTTCGCCCGCTGAAGCCAACACCGTGGCCTCCCCGGGCATGGGGATCCCTCACCGTCCCCAAGTATTCCATGTTATCTCCCCAGCTTGGACCACGTGAATGGGGGGGACTCAGATGGAGTGGCTCGGTCGAGCGCCCCGTCTTTGTGATGACCCTCGTGGACTGCTACGGAATCAGGCCTCAGCGGACCCGGGTCATATCGTGGGCGGACCCCCCATCTCAACCGTGGTGCCCCTAATGTGTGAGTCGGTGCTGCTTCCTCGCGGCCACCACTGTCTCCAACACCCACAAGGGAACTCGGCTCCGTTCAGGGAGTACAATCAGATTGGGGGTTCGTGCCTGATGCAAGGAGAGAGCCCCGAATCCAAGCAGGACAGCGCCCAGGACCCTGTGCTGCCAGAGGCGCTTATAGAGTCTCCCTCTGAAGCCAACACCGCGACCGCCCCAGGCATGGGGATCCGTCATCGTCCCCAAGTATTCCGTCATCTCCCCAGCTTTCGACCGTGTGAACTGGGGTGACTCAATTGGAGAGGCTCGGTCGAGCGCCCCGTCTTCGTGATGACCCTCGTGGACCACTGCGGAATCAGACCTGAGCGGACCCGGGTCACATCGCGGGCGGACCCCTGCGTTGGCCATAGTGCCTCTAATGTGTGAGTCGGTGCCGCCACCTCGCGGCCACCACTCTCTCCAACACCCACAAGGGAACTCAGCTCCCTTTACGGAATGCAGTCCGCTCAGTAGTTGGAACCCGATACAGGGGGGAACCCCGAAATCCTGCGCTTGGCAGGGCAGCACCAAGGACCCCATGCTGCCGGAGGTGCCTATGGAAAGGGTCTCCCTCAAGGCAACACCGCAGCTTCTCCGGACGTGGGGATCCCTCACCGTCCCCAAGTATTCCCTGTTACCTCCCCAGCTTGGACCACGTGGACGGGGGTGACTCAGATGGAGTGGCTCGGTCGAGCGCCCCGTCTTCGTGATGACCCTCGTGGACCGCTGCGGAATGAGGCCCGAGCGGACCCGGGCACCGAGCCAGCGGACCCCAGCCTCGCGTTGGGCAGTGATGTGTCAGTCTGTGCCGCCACCTCGCGGCCATGGCCCTCTCCTTACCCCCAACTGATCCAGCACCACCAAAGAGCTTTCAGCTTGGAGGTCAGCGCCCCCCGCCACACATACGGAGGGACAGACAAATCCTCCTGCACTCAAGCCCCGGGACCTCGCGTCACCTCAGATGTACTGTGGTGGGTCTCCCTCTAGAGTTTGGGCTCCCTGTCACCCCAGGTCATGAGGCCCTAGGTCCCCAAGTTTCCCCCCTGTGGAGATGCGGCACCGGGATCCCAGGGTGCAGAGGGGATCCCACTCTTAGCAGCACTTGGGCTCCAGTGCAGACCAGCGCACTTCCGTCAGGAAATGCACCTCCATGCACCCTTCACAACCCCGGGGTACAACGTGGGTGCTGCGCCATGGCCACAGCGTGTGCTCACCACGTCAGGATCCCCGACTTTTGATGACCTCCCCCAGATACCCCTAATCCATGGCTGCGCTCGGGCGGCCCGCAGGACCTTCGCAGCAGGACCAGGAGGCAGCTGCACGCCTAGGTCATTAGCATCTAAACATCTGAATTGAATGGAGATGTTAATGACCGGTCGTTGGGGGTCTGTAGAGCTCTGAGTGCTCAGTCGGAAGCAGACGCCAGTTCAATTAAAAAGCCATCTTTGCGGGCAGTCTTTGGCGTGGGTGTGCCGCGTCAGGTGTGCAGGGTCCCAGGTTTGGCGGCGGTGCTGTCATCATTGTGCCTGGGAGATGGGATGTGAGCCCCACTCGAGGCACTGATGGTTTTGAGGGGGACCTGTGGCCGAGGGATGTGGATGAGCCCTGACCTCAACCCTGCGGTGGCTCAAAGAAGTGCCACGTGTCCCCGATGACCCTTGTGGACCGCTGCGGAATCAGGCCTCGGCAGACCCGGGTCACACCGTGGGCGGACCCCCCACCTCGGCCATGGCGCCCCTAAAGTGTGAGTCGGTGCTGCTTCCGCGCGGCCACCACTCTCTCCAACACCCACAGGGGAACTCGGCTCTGTCAGGCGGTGCAATCAGCGTGGGATTCGAGTATGATGCAAGGGGAGAACCCTGATCCACAGTAGCGCAGCGCCCAGGACCTCCTGCTGCCAGAGGCGCTTATGGGGTCTCCCTCTGGAGCCAACACCGCAGCCTCCCTGGGCATGGGGGTCCCTCACCGTCCCCAAGTATTCCCTGTCATCACCCCAGCTTCGACCGTGTGAACAGGGGTGACTCAATTGGAGAGGCTCGGTCGAGCGCCCCGTCTTCGTGATGACCCTCGTGGACCACTGCGGAATCAGACCTGAGCGGACCCGGGTCACATCACGGGCGGACCCCCGCGACGGCCATAGCGCCTCTAATGTGTGAGTCGGTGCCGCCACCTCGCGGCCACCACTGTCTCCTCCAACACCCACAAGGGTACTTGGCTCTGTTCAGGGAGTGCAATCAGCTTGGGGTTCGTGCCTGATGCAAGAGGAGCACCCTGAATCCAAGGCAAGGTAGTGCCCAGGACCGTGTTCTGCCAGAGGCGCTTATGGTGTCTCTCTGAAGCCAACACCACAGCCTCCCTGGGCATGGGGATCCCTCACCGTCCCCAAGTATTCCCTGTCATCTCCCCAGCTTCGACCGTGTGAACAGGGGTGACTCAATAGGAGAGGCTCAGTCGAGCGCCCCATCTTCGTGATGACCCTCGTGGACCACGGCCGAATCAGACCTGAGCGGACCCGGGTCACATCACGGGCGGACCCCCGCGTTGGCCTTAGCGCCTTTTATGTGAGTCAGTGCCGCCACCTCGCGGCCACCACTCTCTCCAACACCCACAAGGGAACTTGGCTCCGTTTACGGAGTGCAGTCCGCTCAGTAGTTGGAACCCGATACAGGGGGGAACCCCGAAATCCATCTGCGCTCAGCAGGGCAGCATCCAGGACACCACGCTGCCGGAGGCACCTGTGGGAAGGGTTTCCCTCTGAAGCCAACACCGTGGCCTCCCGGGGCATGGGGATCCCTCACCGTCCCCAAGTATTCCCTGTTGTCTCCTCAATTTCGACTACATGGACGGGGGTGACTCAGATGGAGTGGCTTGGTCGTGTACCCCATCTTCATGATGACCCTCATGGACTGCTGTGGAATGAGGCCTGAGTGGAATCGGGTCACACCGCGGGCGGACCACGCCCCCCCCACCTTGGCAGAGTTGCCCACGTGTGAGTTGGTGCCGCCACCTCACGGCCACTACTGTCTCCAACACTCACAAGGGAACTGGGCTCCATCAGGGAGTGCATTTGGCTCAGGGGTTGGCGCCTGATGTAAGGGGGAACTCCAAAACCCACCTGCACTCTGGGCAGGGCAGCCCCGAGGTCTCGTGCTGCCAGAGGCCTCTGTGGGGTCTCCCTCTGAAGCTGACACCGCAGCCTCCCCAGGCATGGGGCTCCCTCACTGCCGCCAAGCCTTGCATCTTGTCTCCCCAGTTTCTTTCCAGCCTCAGGTGATGCAGATTGTTGTCAGCTGGAGTGTCTCTGCCAGCCAGATCTCCATGCGG